AGGGAGTCATCACACCCAGTTTTCAGTCACTGAAGCTTTTCCTCAAGAGTGTTTGAATGTTTTCCTCCACTCTTGGAGAAGAGGGCGAAGTTGGAGGCCCTCCTACCCGGGTCCCAGGATATTTTTCACGGATGTCGGTAGGAGCAGCACCAGCCTGCTTGTAATATTCAGATTTGAAGATAAGCTGTCTAGTTGGGGTGTGCATGGCTCTTTTTGATCAAAATCAGTTCAGTATATTGTTCATGGAAGGAGGTCCACTATCTCTGTGTAATTCCAAACGTGGAGTGATCCCATCTTGGGTCTTTGTTTGAGCACAGTGTTCTATGTCCTCTCCATAATCCTGGGGGAAAGTGGTGTACTCCTTGCCCACTTGGTTGAGGAGTGAAGATGAATGCTCATAATTCCAGATCGGTTGAGTTCTGTTCCTTTGGTTGAGTATGGCATAGCCTTTTGTACTTCTTCTGGTGAAGGAGAAAGTTTGTCCTCTTCAGTGCTGCTTACTTTCTCATCGTTATTCCGGTGGTTTGGAATGCATCACTCTGTGGCTACAGGTTGGGATCCACTGAAAAATATCTATATATATAAGGTTGCGGTCCAATTGTCCTAGCCACCAACATGGTATATAGGGACCAAGACCCCTTAATTCCAACCCTGAGTTGTGGAACCTTGGCTATCTGGTTGGGGTTGGCCTTATAACGGTGATTACTTGGGTACTATTCCACTCTTGATCTAGGAACTAAGTTCTGGGTGAAGAGCATACCTATTCTGGGTGTAGTGCAGTTCCCCCACTCAGGTACCACTCGTATCTTGGTATACCCCTGATCTGTATAGATAATGCTCCCACTGGCCCTTCCACCTTCTCAGTGTGGGATTTTAGCTATAAGTGTCAGTCGATGGTAAGTATGTCTTGGCAGTTAACATTTACCTCTGCTGACACTCTCCTGTCCTTCCTCCCCACTAAGAGCTGGTGTTAGAGACTGGGATGATGTCAATGTCAAAAAGTGATAAAATTATTTGAATGAGGTGCTTATATACAGTACCAGGATAGAGGGCACACTGATATAGGGCAATTGAGTGAGGTATAAAAGACTGGAAAGCAAGAAAAACAAAATCAGACCAATGCTTAGATGGGCAAAGATGGAAACCCTGGAGGTCAAGTAATAGCTACAAGTGTCAGTGGTTGTAAGTATTATTGGAAATACATTTTCAATTTAGGAAAATGTTAACTTTCTTATCTTTTGTCTTTTGGTAGACAGTTACCAGATGAAATAACCTTAAATTTTTTTATAACAGGAGTGGGTGGCATGGCAAACTGGTCACATCAGTTGTTTTCTCATTTGTAAATGCATGCAATGCTTCAAGTTGCATCACATTGCTTAGGCAAAGTGATCCTGAGTGCAGCTGACTTTCCAATTAGCCATGCATTGGGAAATATAGCAAAGACATGTAACTGAAGAGTTTAATCATCTGTAATTAAACACTTGCTATTAAAAATGGCTCATCAAATTTTACGATTGGCTTACACCCACAGGTCACCATGCAAACCAAACCAAAGCTAGTTTACATACAGTCCAAAACTTTGAGGAATTACACAGCTAATGGGTGGAGTATTTCAAAACTTGTCTTGCTAAATTACTTAATTCA